ACTGTAGGTAGGCTGGTCAGTTTTTTTAATTTTTAAAAATATATTACACGGACGGAGCCATTTTATTTACACACAAAGCATTCTGGGTAAATGATGACGTGGATAGGTCCTCGGTGTGAGCGAGCTATATCCACCCTGAAGGTTAATCTTGGACAATATCTGATGATCGACTCTTTTAAATGAAACCAGAGCAGGTAATTTTTACACTCATGAACGTCTTTAATGGTCATAAACATACAAAAACATAATTTCTGCAAGATTTCTCAGCAAGGAATGCTGGGTAAATACTGATCTGTCTGACATGAGGTGGAAGAGGGTGGGGCTTTTCACAATGTTTCTTTCAACACTGCATGGTGTCATATAACAACACTGTTTAGTGTTCCATAAGACTTAACCGTGGGCGGAGCTTATTTAACACTGTCCAGTGTTGAGACAACACTGAGGAAATCAACACTGTGAATTAACACTAACACTGAGTGTGAGTGTACTCAGAAAGTGTTAAAATAACACTAGGGGGTGTTAAATCGACACCCAAATGTTTAACACTGAAATTTTAACACTCCTGTTTTTGCTGTGAGTAACTGTTAAATTTTAAGGTAACGAAGTAAAAGTATCATTTTTAACCAACTAAACCTCAGGAATGCCGTAGGTACGTAGTTCTAATGTGGTCATTTTCTGTTTACAAGCTAAGATACTTGTATGATCATGTATACCAGAGGTTCTCAAACTGGGGTCCCAGGACCTCCAGGGGTCCATGAGTCTTATCTTGGAGGGTCCTCAAAAATTTTCCATAAATTGTTTATTTGATTTTTATTTTTTTAATGCACATGTGGAACAATAGTAAAACAAATATACTAAACCAAACAAAAGATGATATTCCCATGGCATTTAGGAGGTAAAATGACATTAAACTGTTTTTAAAACAGCATGGGGGTTCATAAGGAGGTCCCTGGAAAATGTTCACCCTGGTTAGGGGTCCCCAGACCCAAAACATTTGAGATCCCCTGATGTATAAAACTGTTCAAATCCTTTTTACAGTGTAGGAAGTAAAATAAATCCTACAAACAACATAGCTGGGTTTATTGGGACCAGAAAGACATCTGGTCAGTGCTGCCTGCAGGAAGTGTCAGCTGGTGGGCCCACGTGTTGCCATCCAGAGGTGCCAGGGGAGGGAGGGGGCTGCAGTCACTGGTTGGAGCAGAGCAGATCAGCAGCTTCGTGGCGCGCGCTCTTCTGTAACGAGCAGTGAGCGGTTTTATTATAATAATAATAATAATTATTATTATTCCTTCCCTCTGAGACACAAAGTGCTGGAGCCGCTCTCTGCCGCGCGCCTCCTGCTGAGGACCCGGGGAGTTTCGCAGCGTTAGTCATCCCTCCGCAGTGAGGAGGGCAGCGGCGGCTCGGAGGACGTGATGCTCGCCTGCCGGGGCGCTCCGCGGCCCGCCGGTTGGCCGGGTCATTAGGCTGTTTGCGCAGGACGTGGCGGGCCGACGCCGGTGACCGAAGGCGGGCGATGTTTGCTCACGTCAGCCGCTCGAGCGCAGCGGACGCGGCTGGAGGGTGCGCGCTGCTGTTGCAACGCCTCACCGGATAACCGCTGCTGTCATCTGTCCTCTTTTGGCTTTTATTTTATTTGGATTTGATTTTTTCTTGTCACGGATTTTAAGATCGCAGAGACAGCAGAGGAGAAGGAGGGTAAAAAAAACAGTGATGTTAGATGCGTGCGCGTGCAGTGCGCATCATTTGTGATCCCCCCCTGTACGCGCAAGCCGCTTTTTTTTTTCCTTCCAGAGGGGCAATGCGCCCACCCCTGCGATGCTAGCCTATTAGCTGGAGACCCACAGAGAGAAGGATTCAGTCCTGGACTCGAGGAGAGGCTGATTTACGAGTCCTGGTTTCTGCCTTTCACAGGAGGGGGGATCAGAAGGGGAGGGTGGTCGGTGAAGGAGAATGCAGCATTCACGTTTTTAAGCATGCAGCGGACTGTTTCCGGTTCCTAAAGGCTGCTCTACCCCCCCAGCACCCCCCACCCGCCGCCAGCAGCCGTATGGGGACAGCGGAGGCAGACCCAGATGGCATGGACACTTCCACATCGTCTGCCGCTCTGCCCTGCCCGCTCCGCCGGAGCCCGTTCGCCGCCGCCTCTGTCCTCCAGCTCGCCCCGCCGCCCAGCAGCAGCAGCACTGCAGCACAGCACAGGCTGACGGCATGAGGCTTGATCCGGTGCATCTGTCCATGCTGGTCATCGGGGTCTCCTTCGCCTGCTACGCCCCGAGCCTCAACTCGCTCCAGGACCAGGCGTACCGGGCGGCCGTGGTCATCGAGGGCGAGGTGCGCTCCTCCCCGGAGAACGCGTCGGCCCGGGAGCCGTACAGCGTGAATGTCAGGGTGCTGGACGTGTGGCCCGTCAACAGCGGCGGCCTCGAGAGGGAGCAGCTCGTGACCGTCGGCGCCTTCGGCTCCGAAGCCCCCTGCATCACGGTGGAGAAGGACCACCGGTACATCTTTTTCATGGACCCCACCGCCGATCCCCTGGTGTTCAAGGCGTCCTACGCCCCTGTGGCCGCCGGCGAGCCGGAGCTGAAGAAGGATGTGCAGAAAGTGCTGTGTGAGGACTGCGGTAAGTTCAGGGC